TATATATTGAATATACATATTAATTACAGTAGGAGAAAATGATTATATTAGTTATACTATACTATGAATTAAATCTGTTAACTGAAGCTGGAGAATAATTTAAATTTAATAAAAACAACTAGTTAAAGCTTTGCGATTAACAAAAAAGACGGTTAATATATAATATACATTTTTTAACTACTTATTGTACTTAAACATATTTAGTGTATTAAAATAAATGTATACATTTATAGATTTCTAGATTTTTAATATTTGCATATTTAAAGTATTTATATTTAAAATAAATTAAAACAAGTAAGATGGCTCTAGTCGAGACTGCTCGACTAGGAGGTACCCTGAACCCCGTAAACTGATATTCTGACCATTCTGCACATCTTTTGTGCACATATTCATACTCAGGCATCCTCACGCACATATATGCACGCGCTCTGATAACTACGCTGTAAACAGGAAGAAATTTGGGGCGAAGGGGGCGTGGTATCCAAAGTATGTAAATTACAAAATCTGCGTATTTATCAAATGTAAATACACAGTAAACCTGAAGTCTCCCGATCCAATAGTGTTTAAGTTACGCTGAAAAAACAAAATAAATCTATAGATTATTCTCGATAAAAAGAAATCGGGTGAGTTATCGACAAAATACAAAACTCATACTGCGTATAGTATACACGAGTATGCATGCAAAACTTCTAATTTCTTTAGCTCTTATATCTTCTGAGATCTAGGCGTTCATACGGACGGACGAACGGACGGACCAACAGATGGACAGGGCTATATCCACTCAGCTGGTCGCATTGATCAAGAATATATGTACATAATGGAGTCTGCTATGATTCCTTCTGCCTGTTACATACTTTTCACAAAAACATTATTTTTAATGGGTTCAGAGTATAAAAGAAATTGTTGATATATTGCATAGTGCATCAATCTAAATGTCCAGCAATGCGAATTTGATCATATCAAATGCAATCCCTTCTACATATACCTTCTATATTTAACGAACTTCAACGAGTTTAAATATATTCATAATCATTAATGTATTCAAATATGTTATTATAATGATTGTACCTCAAAAAAGCCAAACATTATATGAGATTTTAAACAGTACATTTTTAAATTTTGAATTTGCTTTCAAAAATTTGTTCAAGACCATTAATGCGAAATACCATACATATAGATTGAAGGCTTTTAACCTCCATTTCCAGGAAAAATGCAATTACCCGGCACATCATGTATGCAGATAGAACTATTTTTTTATGGAGAAAACAAAAAGAGCAGCAGAGCATATGCAATTTAAAGAAGCTTTTGAAAACCTGCAAAATATATTGCACTCATACATATAAAATGCATGTATTATTAATAATTACGAGCATTTAAATAATATATTCTGTTTCAGGTTCATTTCGCATAGTATAGATAAAATAATTTGCTTAAAATGTAAAATGCGATTAAAACAAAAAACGAGTAAATCCTTCAACTTAAAAGTCGGTTGAAATATTTACACTCTCCAGGTTTCACTTTAAGTGAAATGAATTTTTAGAAAATGTTGCCTAGTGTTGATGTTTCAGTTACATACCTGTGAAGTACCTTTACATATAAATAATATATACATGCATCCAACAAATACCTATATTCTTTGTTTTTACCTTGACCACAACCTTCGTGAACCCATTTAACTGAGCGTTTCTTTCGATTCACATACATTGTTTGACCCTTAGAAGTTTGATTGCTTATATCGCTCAATGAATGCGAAATTCGGCGAGCAAGCTCAACTTGGTCCTCCACAGTGGGATGCAGTGTAGGCGAATAAAACGCTGATGAGGCATATAGTTTTCCTATTTTGAACAAATTGAAGGCAAATTCAAACAGATTGACGCAACATACAAACATATATATAGGATGAAAAGGCGATACGTAATCCTTTCCACGTATAATAATTCCTTATATACATATAATTAATGCATAAGCGCACTGTCGTTAACAGTAAATAAATATATACCATGATTAGATCTGATTAACAATAACGAAATATCGTGGTTTTGTATTAGAGGAGTGATCTCATACAAGATCAAGCGTCAAGGTATTTTCCGATCAAGCTTGCTCGGAAAAGTATATTTCTGAGCTCTTGGTTAGTATTTGATTTGCTTATTTTTTTGATTGTTTTGCTGCAGCAATGAGAATAGCTCGAACGAGAAAGGCGTTTCAATTGAGTATATATATATATATTTATTTATTTATTCAATTTTACGTATCACCTTTTAAAATCATATTTTGATTTTTTTTCGTCGGAATTACTTACGGTTCTTGGGCAATATTTGTGGCGCATCTGTCGCTGGAGTAAATATTTTTCGCAAATCAACTGTCCTCGATATGTTGCACGATTCCTATATTTTGATAACATACACATACATATTTTTTGTGTTCTCTAGGCTAAAACTCGAAATATCATTCATTTTATGTAGATGTATCTGCAGATTAATTTGTATCTATCTATCTAGCATTTATATGAAGTGTAGATATCTTGTCCCAATCTATCCAAAAAGGTCTACGTACATTTTGCTTCTTCCACATTTTCCGGCTTAATTCGAGCAAAATTTGCTTCTTACTTTCGTCGTAACAATCACTGGGTCGAAACCCTCTTTTCCTTTCGATTACGCAGTTTCTCGATCTATCCAAGTCAGTTAAATTATACGTTTGGCCTAGGCCCTTATTAGTTTTCGGAAAATCTTGTTGCATTGTTCTCCACAACAAAAAGAAAACAATTTCAGCTCGTAAAACGCCTTTGATGCGAATAAAATTTCTTTTTCTAGACGAATCATTCCATTTACAAACACACATATTTTTCTTTGTATATGCTAAATAGTTGTACATATGTATATACATACATACATATATATGAACAGCTATCTTCTTAAATGCTAATTATAGAGATCCAATAGTGCGATACACACACATATCAATATAAATATGTATACACTCTCAGAGAATACATGCATATATATAATCCTATGTACTTAATATGTAGCTATACATAATTGATTTCAATATACGAATTTCGTGCTCTTCATTTACGAGATCATTGGGCAAATGGCCAGATGAGAGAAAATTCTTATACCTATAGTATTTGCCATGCGGGTAATTATATGAAGTGCCATCCCCATTGGGTAAATGATATATAATATATCTGTTCAGTTATCAATTTTTATATCAAGTAAAAATCAAATAGGTACGTGTACATAAGTATGATTCTACTAAATAAATGTAATAACCAAAGCTGCATGGCGATGCCTTTGTGGACGTGACATCAAGAATGAAAAAACCCAACCGAATTATTTTAAAGTTATGACGTTTTGTATGGCTTTTTAGATAGATCTAGATATCCTATGTTTTTCGTGATCGCTTTCATTATGTTCTTATGAATGACATATATTATAGACATATATAATTGGTATCGAGTATCCGAAACGATTTAACTGATTTTAAATGCCATAATGTCACCTACCTGAAATTTATTTGAATCTTCTTGGCGTTGGAACATGTTTGTACTGCATCGATCCTGCTTGATTGTGGGCTCTATCTCCTCGGTGTATTGACGGGGACTTTGAGGATGTGGCTGTGGCTGTTGTTGCACATACTTTTGCCGTTGCAGTTCCTGTTCCTTCAGTTGATTTTCCGCAATCAATTTTTGGGCTAACAATTGTTGCTGCTGAATCTGATTGGCCAACTCTTTTTGTTTTTGTATTAGTTGAAGTTCCTGTTCCTTAAGTTGTGCTATTTTTTCCTGAGCTTTAATGTTAATGTCAATATCAGATATTATGTTTTCGATTTGATTATTAATGTCCTTCTGAAAACGATAATTAAAAAGAAATTTATTAAAAAAACGGACCAGCAAAAAACTGTATAATAGAATTTTAAAATT